CTTAGAAATGCAATAGATTTTTATATATTAATCTTTTTATAATCTTGACAAAGTACTAACCATTTAGCTATAATAGATTAGATTTAAATTTTAGAATTTTTCTGTATACAAGATCACATCATGTGCACATAGAGGTCATTTTATTTTTACTATGTAACATAGATGAATTTTATTTCTTTTTCTTACCTAATTGCACTGGCTAGAACTTTTACTGCAATGTTGAATGGAAATGATGCAAGTAGACATGTCTGTCTTGTTCTGAATCTTAAGGGGAAAAGCATCCAGTCTTTCACTATTAAGTGTAATGTTAGCTGTAGGTTTTTTATAAATGTGCTTCATGAGATTGAGGAAGTTCCTTCTATTAGTATTTTGTTAACTGTATTTATCATGAAAAGATACAGAATTTTGTGAAAAGATCTTTTTCTGTTTCAATTGAGACAATCATGTATTTTTTTTGTCCTCATTTCTATTGATGTGGTATGTTACATTGATTTTCAGATGTTAAACTAAGCTTGCATTCTGGAATAAGTCCTATTTGACCATAATGTATGACCATTTTTATGTGTTGCTGGATTGATTTGCTAGTCTTGTTGAGAATTTTAGCATGTATATTGATAATTAATATTGATGAGTAGTTTTCTTTTCTTGCAATGTATTGTCTGATGTTGATATCTGGATAATACTCTTATAGAATGAATTAGGAAGTGTTCCCTCTTCTATTTTTGAAGGATTAGTGAAAGATTGGTAGTAATTGCTCTTTACAGGTTTGGTGAAATTCACCAGTGAAGCCCTTTGACCTTTAGCTCTTCTACATAAAAAGTTTTACAGTCACTAATTTAACGTATTTACTTATTATAAGTGTAATCAGCTTGTCTTATTTTTTATAAGTCCGTTTTGGTAATTTGTGTCTTTCTAGAAATGTATTCATTTTATATAACTTATCTAATTTGTTTGTCTACAATGGCTTATAATATTTTCTTATACTCAAAAAAAGTCTGTAAGGTCAGTAGTAATATCCCTTTTTTATTTCTGATTTTAGTAGTTTGAGTCTTCCCTGTTTATCATGATTAATCTAGCTGAAGATTTTTCAACTCTGTTCAACTTTTCAAAGAACTAATTTCTGGTTTCATTGTTTCTCTATCACTATTCTCTTCTCTATTTCATTAGTTCCCACTCTGCTCATTATTTTTTCTTCCATCTTCTGGTCATAGATTTATTTTACTTTTCTTTTACTAGTTTCTTAAGGTGGAAGATTATGTTATTAATTTGAGATCTCTCTCCTTTTTCTCTATAGGTGTTTACAGCTATAAATTTCCCTTGAAACATTACTTTTTCTACATGCCTTAAGTTTTGGCATGCCACATCTACCTCAAAATACTTTCTCATTTCTTTTGTAAATTCCTCTTGGACCAGTTGCTCATATAGTAGTGTGTTGTTTTATTTCCACATACTTGTCAGTGTCCCAGATTTCCTTCTGTTACTGATTTCTAATTTCATTTATTGTGATCAGAGAGAACATGTTATTTTATTTCAATTCTTGTGAATTTATTTAGGCTTGTTTTATGATCTAGAACATAGTCTATCTTAGAAAATGCTTTGTGTGTGCTTGAAGAAAATCTATATTCTACTGCTATTGAATGGAGTGATATAGAAATGTCTGTTAAGCCTAGTTGGTTCACACTGTTGTTCAAGTCTTCCATTTCCTTGTTAATCTGTCTGTTTGTTTTATCCATTATTGAAATCTCTAACTACTATTGTTTAATCGTATATTTCTTTTTGGTTCACACTGTTGTTCAAGTCTTCCATTTCCTTGTTAATCTGTCTGTTTGTTCTATCCATTATTGAAATCTCTAACTACTATTGTTTAATTGCATATTTCTTTTTTTAATTTCTATAAATTTTTGATTTGAGTTTTAGGGACTTTGTTGTTAGCCCATGTATGTTTATATTTGTCATATCTTTCTAATAAGTTTATTATTTTATTCTTATGAAATATTCCTCTTAGCTCATCACATTTTTCTTTTACCTTTTTTACATTTGAAAAAAAAAATTGTCTGACATTAATGTAGCCTTTTCAGGTTTTCTGTGGTTGCTATTTGTGTGCTGTAGCATCTTAATTTTTTTGCTTTCAATCTTTTATATGTTTGAATTTAAAGCATATTTCCTATGGACAAGATTTAATTACCTATTATTACAAAGGGAATAAAATACCTAGGAATACAACTTACAAGGGATGTGAAGGACCTCTTCAAAGAGAACTATAAAAAACTGCTCAAGGAAATAGGAGAAGACACAAACAAAGGGAAAAATATTTCATGCTTATGGATAAGAAGGATCAATATTATGAAAATGGCCATAATGCTCAAAGTAATTCATAGATTCAATGCTATTCCCATCAAGCTACCATTGACTTTCTTCACAGAATTAGAAAAACTACTTTAAATTTCATGTGGAAACACAAAAGATCCCTTATAATCAAGACAATCCTAAGCAAAAACAGCAAAGCTGGAGGCATCACCCTACCTGACTTCAAACTATACTACAAGGCTACAGTAAGCAAAACAGCATGGTGCTGGTACCAAAGCAGATATATAGACCAATGGAACAAAACAGAGGCCTCGGAAATAATGCCACACTTCTACAACCATCTGATCTTTGACAAACCTGACAAAAACAAGCAATGGGGAAAGGATTCCCTATTTAATAAATGGTGTTGGAAAAACTGGCTAGCCATATGCAGAAAACTGAAACTGGACCCCTTCCATAAACCTTATACAAAAATTAACTCAAGATGGATTAAAGACTTAAACGTAAGACCTAAAACCAAAAAAAAAAACCCTAGAAGAAAACTTAGGCAATACCATTCCATACATAGGCATGGGCAAAGACTTCGTGACTAAAACACCAAAAGCAATGGCAACCAAAGCCAAAATTGACAAATGGGATCTAATTAAACTAAGAGCTTCTATGCAACAAAAGAAACTATCATTCCAGTGAACAGGCAACCTATAGAATGAGAGAAAAATTTTGCAATCTATTCATCTGACAAAAGGCTAATATTCAAAATCCAGAAAGAACTTGAACAAATTTACAAGAAAAAACAAACAATCCCATCGGAAAGTGGGAAGAGGGTATGAATAGACAATACTTAAAAGAAGACATTTATGAGGACAATAAACATATGAAAAGAAGATCATCATTACTGGTCATTAGAGAAATGCAAATCAAAACCATGATGAGATACCATCTCACTACAGTTAGAATGGCAATCATCAAAAAGTCAGGAAACAACAGATGCTGGCAAGGGTGTGGAGAAATAGGAACGCTTTTACACTATTGGTGGAGGTATAAATTAGTTCAGCCATGGTAGAAGACAGTGTGGTGATCCCTCAAGGATTTAGAACCAGAAATACCATTTGACCCAGCAATACCATTACTAGGTATATACCAAAAGGATTATCAATCATTCTACTATAAGGACACATCCACAAGTATGTTTATTGTAGCACCGTTCACAAAAGCACAGACTTGGAACCAACCCAAATGCCCATCAATGATAGACTGGATAAAGAAAATGTGGCACATAGACGTGATGGAATACTATGCAGACTTAAAAAAGGATGAGTTCATGTCCTTTGCAGGGACATGGATGAAGCTGGAAACCATAATTCTCAGCAAACTAACACAGGAACAGAAAACCAAACACCATATGTTCTCACTTATTAGTGGGAGTTGAACAGTGAGAACACATGGCCACAGGGAGGGGATCATGGCACAATGGGGCCTGTCAAGGATGGAGGGTTAAGGGAGGGATAGCATTAGGAGAAATACCTAATGTATATGACTGGTTGATGGGTGCAGCAAACTACCATGGCACATGGATACCTGTGTAACAAACCTGCATGTTCTGTACATGTATCCCAGAACTTAAAGTGTAATTTTTAAAAATCTCTTATTTTTAATCTTACATATTTGCCTTTTGAATAAATTGTTTAATCCATTCATATTTAATGTTATTAGTTTTAAAGATAGATTCACATCTGCCTTTTTATACCAAATTTATAAAATTTTACATTTAATTTAATTTAAAGCCTTCTTTTATCATTATTCCCTTTTGCATAATGTAAAAACCACAATATATTGCTGGCCAGGACTTCTGGATTTGGGTCACAGTTGCAAATTTTGATTCCTTTAGGAAATTTTTAAAATTCTTTTGACATCATTTTTCTCATCGGTCAAACGGGAGCTACTACTATTGCTTTGCCTAAGCCCCAGCAATTTTTGATGAAGATGAAATCTGAGCATAAACTTAAGAGTTTCTGAGTGAAAGATAGCTATGGCTAAATAAATGAGACATTTTGGGAAAAGTAGAAAGATGATACCTTTGCCATAACTTTACCCTGATCTCCAGCACTTCTTACGTGGGCGCTATGGCCCTGTCTCAGCAAGGCCCATACCCACAGGTCGAAGTTTCCTTCATTCATTTTAACTTGAAACTGAAATTCCCTCACAAACTTGACACTGAGCAAATGTATAGTCATTGTCTCCAATTAGGCCACACTGTTTTATTCCACAGCATCTTTGTTTCACCGGTTTACTGCTCTATTTGAAACCAGGGGCTTCAGCATCATGAGCGAGGGTGATCCAGTGACAAGGGAGAAATTTACACTCATTGTTTGAACAGGTTCTTCATTCAAAATCTCTCTTCTACAGCAGGAACAAAGTTTAACTCCCCATCCCTGACGCTAGAAACAATTCTATCTTCCTCTGGCCAAAAACAACTTCCCTCCTGCCTGGGCTTTGGACTTCCTTTGACCTGGGTCACTTATTTGAGTTTCAATGTTCTTAACTATACAGGTACGCGGAAGGTGATAGAATTTACTTCATAATATTATTGTGAGACCTATTTTACATGAATATATAGAAAACTACTTATGTATATTACATACTCAGTATAGATTCTCTCCTCTACCTATCTTACCTCTCACAAGAAAACCTACCTGTGAGGACTCTGTACTGTGCCTTGTCAATCATTCATGCCTCAGAATAAGTGAATGCAACATACATGTCAATTAGACTCCTGCAATATCAAGGGTAATATTGGGGTCAAGGATAAGGAGAAATTTCCCACTAAGCACTAGTTGAAGTCTCACAGACTAATGGAAATTAATAAGGCAAAAATGGGAATAACAACCTGCATTTTACAGAGAATGGGGTAGACACTTGGAACAAAGGAGAAAAAAAATGTGGAAAGAAAATATTGAGGCATGCCTAGGACCTGAGTGAATGGACAGAAAATGGAAATGAGAAAAATTAAGATAGATTCTTCTCATCATGGCTTTCATTTATTACCTCTTACCCCAGGACTTGCTTTCTCTAAATATATTCAACTCTTTAAGTGACTCTTCATTACCTAGGTCAACCAAAAAGGGGAAAAAGCATACTATTTTAAGCCAGAAATCCATATTATTAAATTTTCTAAAGCAAGCTCTGTTCTGAGAAGCATGATTAAATATTTGTTGGAAATTTTGGGGGGGCCTTTATGGGGCAGTCAAATTGTCAAAATTCTGAAGATACTGCATCATTCTTAGACTATGACCTTCAAGAAAATTAATTGTCACTCCTGTTTATCCTTTCTTGAAGACATTCCAAGCCTGCAGGTTTTGTGGAGTTTTTGGCAGCAACTACCTAAATTTTTAGACTGCTAAATCGTACTTGAAGAATTTCAATGTGAAATGAGATTTACACCAGCCGGTCTAACAGGCCTGACACCCAACTCAAATATTATTTCAACCTAAGCTCTCACATCCACCAAGCTGAAAATTAAGTACTAGTGACTGAAACTGAGTATATTTCCAAGGAAAAATTTTCCTCAGATCCCATTCTCCCTCTCCATGTCTTCCATGATTAAATAATAAGCATCATGCTGAGAGAGACATTTAAAATTCTACGTAATGGTGTGCATAATGCAAAAACAAAGGGAGACTCATCAGATGTGTCATATCAGTCATTTTTACATTCCTACAATGCTCTTTTCTGTGCTGCTGTTCTCTTCAAAGCTGAAGTGACAATCCCTTAAAAAACAAATTCATGAGGCACCTTCTAATGTGCCAGGTACTTTGTTCAGTTTTGATGGGAACATAGGATAAAAGCAGATATGATTCCTACTTTCCAAGTGGTATAAATAACAATTTAAGGTAACAATGGAAGACATTTGTCAGGCAACGTAGGAGTTATTATCAAAAGAAAGTAACAACAATAAAGGCTCTAAATAGCCTATAATTGAGGGACCATAGCATTTCTGGTCGTGAAGGAGGGCTCTTTGAAAAGAAGGTGAACTTTTTCTAAGGCAGCAAAAGGCAAGTCTCTATTTTTTTCTGTGTGACTATTATACTTATTATTTAATAGGCTTCAATCCTTGTTAGGCATTTTAGTGTTTGCTACCAAAAAGTCTTGACCCATTGTTAAGCTAGTTATATAACCATTGAAACTCAGCTTATTTATCTATATAATGCCAACAATAATACAACCTTTTAGGGCAATTGTGTGATCTAATTTAAATATGATAACATCAGAAAAACTCTGGGCAATGCCTGGCATATGGTAAGTGCTCAGCGATCTCCAGGTAGGTTAACTATGTGGCTTTGACTTTGCACTTACGGTCTCAATCACCACATTTTTCTGAACAGGACAAAAAATGTGAACAACAATTTTAATCCCTTATTTCTTTTAAAAGATCTCTACGTTCTGTTAGGCAAGGATAACTATGATAGACTTTACTATTGCAACCCTCAGGGTCTGAGTATGACTTAGTTTGGCCAATGAAATACAAGCAAAAGTGATAAGTGGCATTTCCATATGGAAACATCTGGTGCCTCTAGCTCCTCCCATTCAGCTGAAGTGATTGTGAAAGCGTGGCTTGATATGGAGTTTAAACACTGAGCCACAGCATGAAAAACAGCCCGCCTGGAGAGGGACCCAAACCTATAGCAGACTTTGCACAAATAAGAATTAAGACACTGAGATTACTATAATAAACCCCAAAATTTATTACAGGTAGCTTCACTTTGTTATTTGGTTTTCAAAAGCAGTTAACAAAATTTATCTAATACTATTAACAGAGGGCTTCATGTTCAAGCTAAATTAAGGGCAAGTATCTGCATGCTATCTAGAGATTCAAATACATGGATCCTCATGTAGTATCCTCATTCTCCCAAGCATGAGAATAAATGCATAAAACTCACAGAGTGAACACTGATCATCTGAATTCTGTAATGAAATGCAAACTTCTTCTCTGACTGCAAAATTTAGATTGTAGTACCCCATTCTTGCCAAGGATGCCATCTGGCTTGGTGAATTAATTCTTGGGTGAGAAATTCATGGAATTTCCAAGATAAACTTCTTGGAAACGTTTGGCAACCAGGAAGTATCCTTGGCCAAAACTCAGAGCTCTCAGAAACCGCTCTAACAAACAATGTAACTTTCAATGTCAGTGCAATGGATTAGCTCTGCAATGGATTAGCTCTGCAATGGATTAGCTCTGCGACCTGGTCAAACCACTTTCACTTCTCTGGGCTTTGGCTTCCCAGATGAAGGTGTTGGATTAATGATATTCAAGGTCTCTTCTAAGATCTTATCAATTTATAATATGTAGTTTCAAATGAGAAAATAAAATGCAATTCCCATAAACTGGAACTTGTTACTCTGAAGAAGTTAATACTCATGATGAAATCTTAAAATCTCAAAATATTTCTCAATGTAATACTAACCAATAGCAAAGAAGTACTATGAATTAGCATTATTGTGTAAGAAGTAAAAGTGTAAAAATACCCTCTTACATATGACCATCTTATGAACCTCAACTTTCTCATCAATAAAACTTCTATTGAAATTGTATCATGTCTCTTAAGAGTTGCTAATGAAAATAAGATGGTATGGACAAAGAGGCTTTGAAAATGAAAATATATGTATGATAATTGGTAACCAGGCAATGAAAAGTGGTTTATATTTATGATAGTAAAGGTTCTCAGAATGAATGATGCCAAGAACCTTTCAATGGGCTGGAAATCTTTTTATTCTCACAGTACCTTGAAATTTGCTTTTTACTGAGTCCTAGGTTACCTGTCCTTTCTTAGAAAAAAAATGCTTTCTAAAATATCTCTGTCCTCAAAGTAGACATTGGTTTTGTCTTTTATACTCATAATTGTTTTCTACCCTGAAATTCTTTGATCAGATTTGTCTTCCCTTTCCAAACTCTAGATGTCCAGGTCCAATGCACAGGCCAGGACAATTGAGATCTGGGCTATTCACTCTGAGACTCATTCACAAAGAACTGGAGCTTAGGAAGTGAACAAGAAGAATAAGACAGATAGGCTCAAAATTCCATCTTATTGAAATAGAAAAACTAACATTAGGTTGAAGACCTGAGAATTTCAGAGCTGAAAGAAGCCCTATTTAATTTGTTGGTTTTTTAATTTAAAGTTTTTAGTTGAAAATTCAGATTTTGTATATTTATCATATATAACATGTTGTTTTGAAATATTTATATATTGTGCAATGGCTAAATAGAGCTAATTAACATATGTCACATATTTATCATTGTTTTGAGTGACAAGAACACTTAAAATCTACTCTTTCAGGAGTTTTTAAAAACTAGTTAATTTGTTTGTATGGAAAGAGAGAAAGAATCTTCACATTTTACGGAGGGAAAGCCTTAGGAGTGGAAAAGGAAAGAAGGGATCTTAATCAGTGGCATTCAGTCAGTGAGATACAGTGTGTGGAGAGTGGGAAGGGTGTCTCTTGATGCTCCACAACATTTCTTTAAACTACGCAGCTGAGTATCCATTACAATCAGTGTTTTTAATAATAATCAAAGGCCACTGCAGTTCTGGAAGGAAGAGAAAAGGCAGATGTCAATATAAGCCTACTTTTCAGTTCAGGTTAAATTATGCTTTATGAATAATTCTGAAAAACAATGTTTTTAAATATTCTAAAATACCATCTAAATGCTGAGACTGCTGGTATTTTACATTTTTATTAAACTCTATAGAATAAATGATGTAGTCTAAAAATGGTTGATTTTATTTATGGTTTTCTTTCTGTCTGAAATTCTTATTCAGTGTAATCTGCACTAGCATCAATAAAGAAAAGCCATCAGTCATGTCAGAATTTTTAAGCAACATTTTGAGTTTAAATTTTAACACAGATCTAATCTTCTGATAGATAGCCATTGTATCCACTAACTACTATATAAAGCAGTGTTATTAAACATTAACAGTTTTTAATTTCACTTCTGTTGGCACTAATGCTCATATTTCTTACATTCTTATTATTGTTCTAATTCCATTAGGACTTTTGTGCATAGCATGGGCCTGCTCTGCTATTATTTACATTTTTAACTTCTCATTGAGTTACTTCATATATTTCAATTCCTTATAATTGCAACTGTGATCATTTATGAGATACCAGTCAATCATATGTTCTTTAGTCAGTAGAATTCTGTTCCTTTTATTAGAACTTGCAGCAGAGAGTCTGACTCCATTTTGATGTCTGGCTGCTGACAGCTTGCAAGCCCCACTCCTCTGTGCCTTCTACCCCACATCTGGGCAAGATGTTAAGAAATCCAATTTTCCCTTCTTTAGCACCAGTCTGAAAATCACACAAGCCCCAGCCTGTGCACAGGAACCCCCTCTCCTACCATATTTAACTATTATAAAAACCCTAAGCCAGTCTCTTTTCCAGCTTTCTCAAGATATTTTTGACGAGGTTTGGGAGCCTGCCTTACTATCCTCAGAAAGCCTCAACATGGAAGGAATAAACCTTTCATACTGTATTAGTCCATTCTCACACTGCTAATTAAGACACACCTGAGACTGGGTAATTTATAAAGGAAATATGTTTAACTGACTCCCAGTTCCACATGGCCAGGAAGGCCTCACAATCATGGCAGAAGGTGAAGGAGGAACAAAATCACTGCTTACAGGGTGGCAGGCAGAGTGTGTGTGTAAGGGAACTTCCCTTTATAAAACCATCAGATCTCATGAGACTTATTCACTATCAAGAGAACAGCATGGGAAAGAT